ATATAGGGGCTTATAGTCTATAGATTAATTAATAATAAAGGCATTAGAATCAAGAAGACATTGAACAAAGCATGGGATTTCAGTTTTGTAGTCTATAAAATTAAGGTTTAAACTAAATGATCTAGAGTGCTGATTCAGAGTCAGAAGAAGTCCAGATTAAACTCTGACTTTTCTATTTAGTAGTTATGTGACTGTGGGCAAATAATCTCTCAGCGGGAGTGGAGAACCTTCAGCCTCGAGGCTACATCTGGCCTCAAGGCTGAAGGTTCCCCACCCCATCTTAGGATTTCAGTATCCTCATTTCTTGGAAGGGTTAATGTGTGTAAAAAACTTTGTAAAATTTAAAATGCAATATAAATATCAACTATGAGGATGCTTAGTGATGTTATTATTTAAAGTCACTGTCAGGTCTTATATTCTGTATGTCTATGAATGTTTATAGTATTTATATTGCATTTTAAGTTTTTCAAATAATCATGCAAAACAAAGGAAAAATACTGCTAAGAATTATAGTTCTTTTCTGTTTAAATAAATCCAAGCATCCTCGTTGTTAGTGTTTATTGCATGCAAGAGTGTGTAGATGGCATAAAAATACTAGTAAGTTGTAGGATAACTGAAGAAGAATATCCCAAATTCAATAACCTATTGGAAATTCAATCTCATGCTTGAATATAATCTTGAGACATAACAGAATTGTATTACAAAATGAGGGTGAGTTAGTTTGCAGGGAGTAGTGCCACTTGAATGAATAGGACAAGCTATTGTATACTTAATGTAATATGTTTATTATATTATATGGTTACTGCAATGCCTCACACTTGAGACTCCACAGTAAAGGTTCTTGTGTGTGTGTGTGTGTGTGTGTGTGTGTGTGTGTGTGTGGAATGGTAGCCTAAAATAGAAGGATCACATTTTAAAAAATATTTTTTATTCACAAATTAAAAATAGTGTATGATTATGTGGTTTTTTTGGCTCAGATCAAATCTCCCTTCATTCTGAGATGAAAGAAGAGTGATTTCTACTTGGCAAATTATTTCCTTTGGAGGGAATTCAGCACCACAACATAAGATCATTGATTTAGAGTTAGGCGGCCCCCTAGAGGTCATCCAATCTGATCTAATTTTACAGAGAAGGCCTAGAGAGGTAAAGGAACTTGTACAAGGTCATAAGGGTAGAAAGTGACAGCATTAAGTGGAATTCGAACCCAGTTCCTGTAACTCCAAATTCAGGGCTATTTCTGTCAAAACAAGGATTTTAAATACTTGGCTTTATTGAAGACAGCTCCTTGTGTCAGAACAAAATGGAAGCCTAGCTTTAGTCAATGGCCTCAAGAAAATGAGCTTCCAAGAAAACAATAATCCTAAACCTGCAAAAGAAAGCTTTTATAATAAGCTCCCTTTTCTTGTCTTCCCCCAGGCCATATATGACACAGAAGACAAAAAAGATGAACATCAGAGTCTCTTACATCCGTTGTCAAATTTAGGTTTCATTAAAATGTCATTCATTTGAGCTGCCTCTTGAGTAGTCTTTTAACGGAGGCCCTTTTTTCATATATTTGAAAATTTTTAGAGCTAATGATATCTTACAAGGCAATTGGGAATTAATTAAAGTTGTTATACTTTCTGAACTTCAGGTGAACCTTTTGTAGGGCTGTTACCTCATGAACCTCCCTTAGAATCACTATTTGGGGATGGGCTAATTATTCAATTTGGGCACCTGCAAGATCCTACTTTACAAGCTCAACAAATTTATCTTCACCTGACTGGAGCATTAGATTGAAAAGTAACTCTCTCTAAAGATAAATTATCTTGTTTCTTTCTGTTCTCCTAAATTATAAATATACCATTAGTTAAAGATGTATAATGGACAGCTTGTATCTGTGGCTTTAGATGTAGCATACTTCAGAAATCTCAAGAGAAAAATCTATTCTACAAAAGTTGGAGGGGAAAAAAAACACCTTTGCTCATGCTGTTGTTTTTGTTGAGTTGTTTCAATCATGTCTGACCCTTTGTTACCTTATTTCATATTTTTTTTTTTTTGGCAAAGATATAGAGGGTTTGCAGTTCCCTTCTCCAGCTCATTCTACAGATAAGGAACTGAGGCATACCTTTAAATGACTTACACAAGGTCACACAACTAGTAAGTATCTGAGGCCAGATTTGTACTCATGGAGTCTTTCTGACTGCAGGCCTGGCACTCTATCCATTGCATCACCTAGCTCAGGGCTTCCTTAAACTTTTTCCACCCTCGACCCCTTTTCATGTTTTGGTAGTGGTCCTTGGAATTGCGGGGCCTCAGGGCACATGCAAAGTGCACATGCTGCATTCAAAACCAAGGGTTCAGTGAAGTTACATGATACAACACAGGCAACTCCTGCCAGAAACACCTCAGATTTATTATTCATTTGATTTTGTATTAATTTTTGGTGATTGCACTTTCAGAAACCTTTTACTATTGCCAAATTTTTCATGAAGATCACGACCTACAGTTTAAGAAGCACCAGATTCCTAGCTCATGATAGGTGTAGTTTTGCTTTCTGTATTTTTGGCATGGGGAAAACGTTCTGCCTCACACAGCTCTTGCAAATAATAGTTGCAGATCCTATTAACTTTTGTAATCAAGTACTATTCCATCTACTTTCTTGACTCTTCTCCTGGCCTTCATTATCCTTCCACAGGTAAATATCTAGGGGGAAATATTTTCCCAAGTAGTATAATAGCTGTATCGATCTTTAAGCATGAGGGCCAAGTCATCCATGTTTTCTATTTCTTCTGAATCCCAAAATTTCCTGACACACAGTAAGCACCCATTGAATGAATGAATGAATGAATGGCTAAAGAAGAAGAGTACATGACTAGAAATGAACTCTTACAATCTAAATTGCCCATTATGAAAATATGAAAACTTTTCATTTCTATATTCTTCTCTAAGGAATTTACTTATTTTTCATCATACCTTCTGTTTATTCTCTTACTCTATGCTTCTATAGCCAACTAGCAATTATCAAGAATGAATTATCCAGGTCCCTTGTTTTCCTTCATTCCTTTCTGCTCAGGCTACCTTTGCCCATTTTACTATGCTCATTTGCTCATTAGGCCTCTCATCTGACAACACACTGGGGAAAGAGAAAACTCAATTTTACCACCTTCAGGACCTCACTCCAAAGGTATAATAGCATTGTAACTGGTTTGCATATTCTTCTACACTGCTTAAACATTTTCCTTTATTTGTAGAGCATTTTCATTGTTTTAGCATGATTTCTTTAAGTTCTCTATATAAAAACACATGCATACATAAATGTACACATGCACATATACATACACACATACATACATATATACATATATATATATAGATATAAAATTATACCTTCCACATCTTAGGGGTTATCTCATGGCTCCCCTGTAGGTTAATAATGTTGACTCTGTTTAAATTGTATAATTAGAAAGAATAAAATTTTACTCACAACCAAAGAAACTTTGATCGTATTATTTCTATTGTATGAAAACTTCTTCGAGTTGTCCATTTTATTTGAAATTGTTAGTCATTACACTCCAATTTAAAACTACTGATGTATTTTTGTCTAACTTATCTTTTACACTTGTCACTAGTTTCAGACACCATTCTGCTCACATAAAACTGGCTATTACTTCTCATTTCTACTTCTGACATTTTCCTCTGTTAGTCCCCAGATACTACTTCACTGGATAAGACATAGCATTATGTAATGAATAGAAAGCCAGCCAGGGAATCAGGAAGATTTGAATTCAAGGCTTGCCTCTGATAACTGGTGGTATGGCCCTCAGCAAGTATTTTAATCTTTTGCTGCCAGGCAACTCTCTAAGGCTTTAAATTACAGAGAAGGTCCCATCCTATGTTGATTGGACTTCTGGTAATCTGGAAGTTCCCTATACAATGAAATCACAGGTCCAATCATTATTCTCTCCCTCAGTTATGGAAAAATATATTTTTCTATAAAGGCCATGCCCTTTTCACCATCCTTCAGACAACCTTATGAAGCATGAGGTTCTATGTGAATCACATTTCTGACCACCTTATCAGATGTGATAAGATTATTCTTATCTCCTTGGCTTTAATCCAGCCTAGTCTATTAAAGTGCCAATAAAATTAGTTTATGAATAACTAATGCTAGAAATACTGAAAGTCCTATTATCTATTTATATCAACTAATTCTCATTGTTTACTCTTTCATGTCTTGCTATGAAGAAACACTCTAAATTTAGTTTTCATTTTTTTCTCAAAAAATATTTATTGCCACGTAGAACAATATTTATGCTCCCATTATAATTTTGTGCATGGAAATTTCTGGGTGATTTTCTCAAAAAACTTAAATGAATCTCCCACCTGCTAATTAAGCAAAACAAACTGAAACAAAACGACAACAAAATAACTATTGTGGGACCACATGTTCGGATGAATCAAAAGAATGATAAACCCACGAGTTTCTAAAAGTCACATAAGGAAAGAAAAAACAGGTTCCATTCTTTAAGATGTCTCAAGAGTCTCTTTCTTTGTCAGCAATAGAGTGTATGTATCTTTTGCCACTTTGTCCTTAACATTAACAGAAAAACAGACAAGCTAATAGGATAGGAAAATATAACAAATACTCTTTTTTCTTGAAAATCTAAATTGTTCATGTCAAATATACCTCCCTGACCATAAAAATAACCAAGGCATTAATTTATGATCAAAGTTGCCCATTATGAAAATATTTGTTTTCATTTTTATATTCTTCACTAAAGCTTATTTTTCAGCACTCAGGACAGTAGTTTTGTTAAGATGTGTTCTCGTGTTTAAAACAAAATTCAGCTATTTCTTAATTTGACTATGCAAGATTAACAACTTTGACCCCTCATGTAATGCAGGAAAAAGACTAGTTGATTCATAAAGGTTATAAATGCCTGGCATTCAGACAAAGGAACTTTAAAAAATATTACATTGAATTTTGAGATCCATCATTCATGCAATCCAGATTTTACCTTTGTGTTTGGGTCGCATAGCTGCTATCATAGGCCTCGTAGCTCTGGTCATCATATTCACCTCCATAGCCATCATCATATCCCTAAAGAAGGGAAAAAAAGAGAGAACTAAGCAAAAATCAATTTGCAGAAATTTGCAATTCCACATTAATGAGGTAATATGAGATGCCACCTGAGGGTAGATTTTTTCTTTCCCTTTCCCATGATCACAATATATACTATATTAGAATAGTAAGTGCATGTAACTCAGCTGTAGAACTTCATGGATTAAATATTATAATTCTGGAAATTGTCTATTAATTAATAAAATCCAATTATGCCTCAAAGAGTAGAAATGCACATGGGTTTGTCTAGAATTTTGAGCCATTGGGGTAGTTTGAATAATCTCTTATTTGGGGATGTAATCTATTTTTGTCTCAAGCTGCTTCTGCTTTGTTGACGATTTCATTCCTTCCTGCTACCACTGCCTTGCCCAATTTCTAGAACCCTATATCTTCTATAACTGAAATATCCCTCGTTCCTAACTGATTGGCAACAGTTTGCTTGTAGCATCAGACATGAGGTTCTCCTAGGGGTTAGACTAGATGATCTTTAAAGTCCATTCTGGCTCTACTCTATGATTCTATTATCTTCTCATCCAAGTATGACTCTACTCATCCCTATCAATCCTGAAGTCTTATTAATCATGTTGGTTGTGAGCCTTTAGTTTAATATAGCACAGGCAACCCACACTAAAGAACAAAAAGTGTTGTCAAGTGGAAGAGGAATTCAATTTGTCCTAGGTTTTTTTTGATTGTTTGTTTTGTTCTGTTTTGGTTTGGTTTGGTTGGTTTGTTTGTTTCTCTGGAGGGGAACTAAAAGCAGTGGCTGGAAGCTTTAAGAAACAAATTTGAGTTGGAAATCAGAAAAAAAAATCCATATATTAGAGCTTTCCAAAAGGAGAATTGATTGCCTCAGAAGATAATAGGTTTCTCCTCATTAGAGATCTTTAAACAAAGGCTAGATAACAACTTACCATTGGAGGCATTGTGTTTTGTTTTGTTTTCCCCAGGTATGGTTTGGGATAGCTAAATCTCCAACTGTGAAGACCCTGGAAAAAAAGGGTGCCAGGGTGGAAAGGTGCCTCTCTCCTGGAACTTGATGTTCTTCTTCTGCTAAGATCATTACATCCAAAATCAGAATACTGTTTATAATGCACCCCCACCTCCTATTACTCTGTCCTTTTTTTTCAGATGACAATGATACTAATGTTCTTGTCCCCATCTTTATTTCTTCCATTCCTTGCTCCGCCTCAGCCCAGGTGTCTAAAGTTAAGCTTCTTTCCTTGTGTGAGGTAAAATGTACAAACACTGGTCATTCTGCTTCTAGTGTGAAAATCTCAAAAACTTTCCAAAGTGGCAGCAATGGTCTGAAATACCTGTACTAACATAATGGTAATTTTGGGAATGCAAGGGATATGTTCTTTTACTAACATATATGAGTGACTAGCAATCAGTAAGATGAGCAAATGGTCATTGTTCAATCATTCAGTTGTGTCTAATTCTTCATGACCCCATGGACCATAGCACACCAGGCCCTTCTAGTGGAGAACTACTATCTCCTCAAGTTTGTCCAAACTCATGTTCATTGCTTTCATAACATTACCCATTTCATCCTTTTCCATTCCCTTCAATCTTTCCCAACATCAGGGACTTTTCCAATGAGTTCTGTATTTTCATTATGTGGCCAAAGTATTTAAGCTTCAGCTTTAATATTTGTCCTTCCAATGAATAAACTAAATTTAACAAATGGATGTAATCATATTTATCCCATAGCATCATTAAGAATATTGGGATTGAGTATGAAGCCATAACGGTCAGTTATTTTAAAACGTCATCAAGATTCAGGAAAGAAAACAAAGTCATCTCTGTAAATAATCACTGAAATAAACAAAGAACTTTCACTTTTTGCATATCTTAGTATTGCGGCTTTCAAAGGATGCACTGAAGACCTAATGTATTATATGTTTTGCTAGGTGTTTCATGAAAATTTGCTCTCTACATATCCATTTCAAACTTCATAAATTATACATTACCCACATTAGCCTCCTCTATAAATTCAGTTCCTATTGAGCTTGTAATTACTGCTATGAACCATCAGAATCAAGAGAGGAGTCTGGGAAGATAGCGAAGTAGGTTAGAAAATTTTAAGCACTCAATATTTTCCTCTACAAAAGAGATAAAATAGCACCTCTGGGCGAACGTATACCTGTGAAAACAAATAAGAGTGGGGGCAGAACAGGGGGTCCTCTTGGGACAACTGGAGAGATCTGAAGAAAAATCCCAGGAAGAGATATCCTCCTGGTGAAGAGTAAACACCTCCAGGCTAGGGTCTGCTTTAACAACAAACAGCAAGTTGCTTAAACAAGCAGCAGCAAACCCTGGGGTCCGCTAGTTTGCGAGGCTGCCTCAGCCCCAGCAACAGGAACTTTTACCCCCAGGACTGTGAGTGGAGTTGGGCACTGGACCTGGGGAAGATCTAGGGAACCTCTGCTGATAAGGAACGCCGGACCCAACTGTGGAGATGCAGTGGGAGTGAGAAGGAACTAGCCCATGTTCGCTGAGTGCAGAAGCAGTGGAGTAGGGCACTGCTAGCTATAGGCACTTACAGGAAGCTGGAGGTCTAGGTTTGAGTTCAAGGTCAGAAGGGAAAACTGAAGAGGATCAGAGGCCTGAGGCACCATCCCCCATACCTCAGGATTAGAGGTGATTAGAAAAACTAAATTATTACAAAACAAAACAAAACAAAACAAAAAAACAACTACACAGGCAAAGGAGAAAGAATCCGACTGATGAGGTAGAAAAAAGTGCTTGAGGCAGATGGAGCAAGCAGCACCTGAGATAGGAGATAGGATGTAGGATGTGATCAGTCAAAAAAGTGATCAAGGAAGACTATGCATTGAAGCCCCCACCTTGGACTTATCTGTATGCTTTCACAAAGCACCTTCAATTCCAGAGCAGCTCTTCCCCTCCTTTTTCTGTTCTCCTTTCTTATCACCTCTAGACTACCTGATATCTCAGGCATTTTGGAGCCATCCTTGCTGCTCCCATTCTCTTGTCTCCTTCCCCCTATTCCATAAAATTATATTTAAACCATACCTTTAATCTGGCTAACCACCTTTGTGTCCTATGGGATAAAGGGGCCACTCTACTCCCTTAGGGAAGCAAAGCCTGTGGCCCATACTCTGCCTCCCACGTGGAGTAGAGTCCATTGGGGATCTGCCTCATAGAGAGCAGGCCCACTAGGGTGCATCACCCCAATGAATGCCTTTGTTTAACTTGGGGACTGTCCGAATGAATTTTTTTAGGACATTAAGATTCGCATGTCTATTCCTCATCATTTCAGGTAACACCCCAACACTCTTGGGGTCCACCCTGAACTCATCACCAATGACAATAGAGAAGGTCTAAGTGAATTCTTTCACACCTGAACCAGCTCTCCCAACTCCAACCTCAACACAACCATGGAGAGATACTATGGGAATAGAGAAGATCAGGGTTCATCTTCAGAGGAAGATACTGAAGCAAAGAAACCCTCTTCTACCCCAAAGAATAATGTCAAATGGTCACCTGCCCAAAAAAGAATTCATTGAACAATTTAAAAAATACTTCAAAAATCAAATGAAAGAGATTGAAGAATAACTAAAAAGAAAAATAAGAATAATACAAGAAAAATAAGATTATGAAAAGAAAATCAACCAATTGAAAACAGATCTTTTTTTTTTAGTTTTTAGGCAATTAGGGTTAAGTGACATGCCCAGGGTCACACAGTTAGTAAGTGTCAAGTGTTGGTCTGAGGCCAGATTTGAACTCAGGTCCTCCTGACTTCAGGACTGGTGCTCTATCCACTGCACCACCTAGCTGCCCCCAAGATCTTTCTTAAGGAAGAAAATGTCTCCTTGAAAATTAGACCTGGTAGGGGGCAGAGCCAAGATGGAGGAGTAAAAGCAGTGACTTGCTTGAGCGCTCCCCCAAATCCCTCCAAATACCTATAAAAAATGGCTCTGAACAAATTCTAAAGCAGCAGAACCCACAAAAAGACAGAGTGAAACAAATTTCCAGCCAAAGACAGCCTGGATGGTTGATCAGAAAGGTATAGCACTGGGCAGGGAGAGCTCAGTTTGGCGTGGGTGGGCAGGCCACAGCAACCTTGGAGCAGGCCTCAGAGGACTGAATCGCAGGCAGCTGTGGTGGTTTCCAGACTTCTCAACCCATGAACACCAAAGACAACTTAGAAGGTCAGTGGGAAAAGTCTGTTTCTACAGTGGTGAGAGAGGAGCACAGGGTCCCAGCCCCATTGCCTGGGGTGGCAGCTGCTTCCTGAGCTTCCAGCCCATAGACTGAGGGAGAATCAAGTGACCAATGAGAGGGGGATTACAGGGATCTCTTTGTTGGTGCAGGATTCTCTTGCTTCGCCCATGCTTGGATCTGGGTCACAGTTCTGGTGGCAGTCCTAGGGCGAGGAGGAGCACTGGCATGGTGGAGCTTGTAGTGGCTGTGGAGAGGATACCCTCCTCACAGTTCCAAGACAGAAAAGAGTGCTCATAGACCAGAGCACAGGCCAGGAGGAAACATCTCGCCCTTCATCATAGCACCTTGGAAGAACTGAAAATTTACAGGTTCCTAGAAGTATCTCTGAAAACAGTTGCACAAAATCCCTGAAGCTTGGGACAGTACATTCTCCACACTGGAAACAAACTCCTACCTTAACAAAGAGTTTATAACTCAAGTAATTGGTCGAGATCATGAGCAAGCACCACAAAAAGAGTCAGATTGTATTATCTTACTTTGGTGACAAAGAAAATCAAAACATACAACCAGAAGAAGACAACGAAGCCAAAACTCCTACATTCAAAGCCTCCAAGAAAAATATGAATTGGTCCCAGGCCATGGAAGAGCTCAAAAAGGATTTTGAGAAGCAAGTAAGAGAAGTAGAGGAAAAACTGAGAGTGATGCTGAAGGAGACCCCAAAAAATTCTGAAGAAAATAACACCTTAAAAAAATAACCTAACCCATGGCAAAAGAGGTCCAAAAAGTCAATGAGG